CCCACCCTTGAAGGCACCTGGATATGTGAGAATGCCAGGCAGACCTAAAAAAGAAAGGAAGAGGGAGCCACAAGAACAACCAAATGCAAAGAGACTTTCTAAGGTAGGGACAGTCATCAGATGCAGGAAATGTAAGGGAATAGTCCACAATAGGTCCACTTGTGACAAGAGATATGGGGTTCCATCTAGCAGTAAAACTCTAGGAGGCACATGTCATGCTGCTCCACAACCAAGTAATCTACCAGCTGATGCTTGTACACATGGCAGCTTTGTACCCACTGCTACCTCTAATGAAAGCAGTAGAGGAAGAGGAAAAAGAAGAGCATCTCAGCAAAGCCAAGTAACTATATGTGCTACTTCGTATGTTGTTGTTTTTTTAATTTTGCCTCCAATTTCTTATATTTTAACTCACATACAGAAAAGGATCAAGTGCATTGCTACAGCTAGAGTGCAAGCACCTAGGCAAGCTAACATGCATTTACAAGCCAATGTTCTACTGTCCCAGGCAAGTTCTTCTGTGAACTTGAGTTTTAAAGGTGGAAAAGCATGCGTTACAGTCACTGCCGAGGAACCTCTAAGGAAAAAACAATCAGTGAAGAAGCGCACACAACCAAGCCAACTGCTGCTTCTCAAAGACCGTGCTGATCCCTAAGAGCATGTATTACCATATTGTGATGTTAACTTGCATTGTACTGCCAGACTTTCAAGTCTTTCAGGTTGTTGAACTTGTAATGTAATGCCAGACTTTTTAAGGCATTTATGACGTTCTTCACCTATAATGTAATGTAATGCCAGACTTTCAGGTTGTAATGCCAGACCTTTAACGTTGCTGCATAGTGGCTTCTCTTGTTGCGGCTTATCAATTGCGGGTTAGTCTTCTGTCTTGTGTGAATGTGAGTTCTTGATTGGAGCCTCCATACAACAACGTCAAAGTAGCGATCAAAGCAACCAAAATCTGAAAGCCTTATCTTGGAATTCATAATCGATTCAAAGATAGCAAAATACATCTTGAATTCAATACATCTTCCATACTTCTACACCACAAACTAACAAGCATCCAACTACTACCATTGTCTTCCATCACAACTAAAAAAGTAAGAAACATCTACTTCCTAAAAAGTACAAGCACTAGAATCACATAGGCCGCCAATACAAACTTCAACAAACCTAGTTCCTTCTCTACCATCCTGCATTTCAACTGAACATCTTCTGTTCTAGCTGTTTGCACTGTTGGTGCCACATCACCTGTGCCTACAAATCCTGTTTCCACCATGACTCTTCCTTGCTGCAACGAATGTTGCATCAGCGAATGCCAAATTCATGTGGCCATTTCCCTGTCTGTTAGCTATCCTCATTGCTCGCACTTGGTCATGGAGCTCAATAAGAACGGGTACAAGGTGCTCCGGGGTTGGTGGATCAATCCAGCGATAAAATTGGCATGGCCACATATTGCTCTGCAACCGTGATTAGAACCAAAACCAAGACAACTTCAATCATGACATCCAACAAAGAACCAAACCCTAAACAAGACATCCAACAAAGAACCAAACCACCACGGTCGGACCTTCCTCCTCCCTCCAGCTACTTGCGCTGCTCGAGCTCGCCATGCTGTCGATCCACACCTACGCCACACCCGCCACCCTCCCTCCGCCGTCGCCGTCGCCGTCGCCGTCGCCGCCGTCGGGAGTTAGGGTTCGGGGTTGGGGAAGGAACGAGAGTGAGAGGAGAGTGCGGGACTACTTGAGCCGCCAGACATGGAGACTAGGCCGAAACCGCGGTCGTGGCGGGTTGACTGGGCGGAAACCGCGATCGAATGGGCGCTGTGGCCAATTTTAACTGGTTTTGAGAGTTAAGAGACTGCGCGTGTCTGGTTTTCGAGTTAGAGGGCTAGAAAAAAATTGCAACCATAGTTGGAGGGCCAAAAATAGACTTTTTCCCGGCTAAAAATAGCCACACTGTCTCGTATATAAACACCGCACCCCACCCCCTGTACCATCATCGCAGTCGCAAACACACACACAGCAAGCAAGCAAACTAAGCAAGAAGCAGCTAGCCACCGCATTGCCAAGGCAGCGGCATATATCGCAATGGCTCGCGCCTGCGTGTTCCTCGTCGTGCTCCTCCTGGCCGCCGTTCGCGGGCACGGCGCGCGTGGACGTCGTCGAGGGCAGGTCCATGGAGTCCTTCGACGCGCCCGCTCCCGGCCCCGACTCCGCCTCGTCCCGAGTCATCGTCGGAGGCACCCTCCAGCAGCAGCTCTTCCGACTAGCCGCCCGGCGCGGCAGAGATCTCGCTCCGTCTCTACGGCGATCGAGTTCCCTTTTGATTCTTTGGAATAATGTGTTGCACCCTGATGCTACGTGTGCATGGGTGCGCACGGCAAATGCATGGAATGTGCTTGCCTAATTGTTATTTTGTTTTTCTTTCCTCTCTCTCCTATTTTAATTTTGTTCATGTATGAAACAATATGCGTCACCCAATATATTGCGTGCTACGCCCTTTAATTTTGTGGTGATGACATCATTTTTCTGTTTTGAATGAGCAATGCCACGCGTTATGTGTAATCAATTTGTATCTGGATGTATATCGACATCGGATTTCTGAAACTAAGCAACTTGTACAATAATGTAACGGTCATTCTGCAATTGAACAGCTTGTATAACCAGCCTTTGATACTAATCAATCTGTATAAAAATTTAACAGGCATTCTCTTTGTTGGGATTTGTTTGCAAGTACGTTCTTATGGGGTACATGAGTTCTTCAGGTCGGATTATAGTTGTTTCCTTAAAAACACCACCACAATGCTTCTGTATTTATTGATATAAAAGAAATGCAAGGAGGTAATCCTTAGAGGCTATCTATAGAGGAATTTTTTTTTCAATAGCAACTTTAACTCAACATCCGGTCTGGTAAACAACAACATGCACCACGTACCACAAGGCACCACAACTTTAAACCACCACTGCCCACTACTACAACAAACTACCCAAACATAAGTTGGCTGCCAAAGTCTATGGATGGCAACGGGGATGTACCCGTCGGGTATCGCCGAAACGTTCTCTTCCCCGCTACAGAGAATTCATCCCGTCCCCGTCCCTGTTAACTGTCTCGGGTATAGATTCTTGCTCATCCCCTTACTCGTCGGGCATCGGTCGGGTAACAGATACCCGACGGGTACTGCATACCCGATAAACAAGGACACTTGGGGTCGCAGCTTTGCAATGGAAGACGTTTCTTCTTCACCGGGGTATAAGTGTCGGAGTCTCAGAGATGCCGAGGAGAAGGAGCGAGGTTGCGAGGAGGACGAGCAAAGGTGGCAGAGAGACCGAGCTAAGGAAGCGAGGGGCACGAGCGCTCGTGAGGCAGGCGTGCTTGTGCTGCTGACGGAGATGATGAGGAAAAATTGAACTAGGGTTCCTAGAACACACAAACTATATATATGATTGTTCAGATTTGGGCCAAAATACCTATGTTGAGCTTCTTTTGGCCTAATACTCGCATGACAGCTCAAATAGTCGGGTTCCCCAACAGGTAACGGGGACGGGTAAACAGGGAACATTCTCGTACCCGCTATACCCGTCGGGGATGGATTCTTGCCCATTTAGATGCCCACGGGTAAAGATATGATCCCATCCCCGTCCCCTAATGGATCAAATACCCGTCGGGTATCAAGTATCGGGGCCCGTTGCCATCTTTATGCCAAACCCACGAACCAGCAATGCTTAAAACTTATGCCGAGCATACACGTACAAGATAGCCAATGCTATGCAGTGCCAATTGTCGCCATGAGATTAAATAGTATATAGGGCATACAGGATTTAGAGGCGCAAATAAAAAGAAAGTGTTGCTAACTGAAATCAAGCTTCCGAATATCAGATAATTCTAAAATGAAAGTGAAACCTCAGCAATGCTAATTGCCATCTTAGAGCTTTGGGGCTGAAGGTGTTGCTATTTGTTTTGTTTCCAATCATCTTATAATTCAATCCAATTTTGTTAGTTTTTTATTATAAGAAATATAGAAGGCATCCATATATTGCTATTTGTTTAATTTGTCGTTCCAACATCTCATAATTCAATCTAATTATGTTAGTTTTTTTATTAGATTATTTCACTGTCTTGCCCAATTTTGATAAGGATGAGTGTAAAAATATGTAGGTTTAAATCATACACGCAACAATTTTATTTCTAAGAAAGTTTCCCAGGAACGTTTGGTGTATCCTTCTAGTTTTCATAGTGCGAAGTCATAATAATATGTACATTGTTATTGAAATTTATAGCACTTTGCTATTTGAGAATGTCCACCTTCTGCCATCTGTTACATCCAAACATCCTGTATTTATCAGATGGATCATTCCTTATTAACACATACAGCACTCACTTACAGACCATGTTGCATATTCTAGCGACACCGAAAGCATTTTGTATTATGAAAAAGATCACAAGAATTGGACATGCCATTTCAGCTTTGCTTTAAGCGCCAAAATGCAAAACCAAATGTTGGACACAGGCATGCCTCAATTCCAATGAAAATACTAGCTTGTCCTTGGCCAAAATATGGCATCACCCACAAACCTGAACACATCCATATCTTGGGCTATTTTGTAACGCATGAAAACAGTAATCTTGATGCCACTCAAACAGTTCATCTATTTTTATATCTGCTATGCTAAATGACACAACATGTAATTGCATGAACATTCTAGCATACATGCATGAGGTTAGAAGAACCAACCAAATTTACTATAGACTACGTTCCCAATATAGACGACATGAGCGTGAAGTGTGGATTCACCAAAAATAACCTCAACCCTCACACATGGCGTGCATAACCACAAATGAAATTATGTCAATTTGTGGCGTGCCATCATTCTCGCGGTCTTGCTCACCTTCTTAAATTCTGTTAGCGAGGCACCACTTTCTCTAAATCCAAATAAAAAACACACCAGACTTGTCTTTCATACCACTGAGTGATCTGCTAACAGAAAACACCTCAATAGACAATGGCGAACAACCTCGCCGTCACATTGTTCATTCTAGCGGTCTATGTCGCCGTGATGGCGACACCATTCGTTTATGCGACCAAATCTCCGACGAGCACAACAGCCAAGGGACATGAAGAAACCAAAGAAGGGGATGCACCCGCCAAGGCGCCTGAAGCCGCCACCAAGGGGTCTGCTAAGGACAACAAAGCAGGCACTAAGGGGGATGTGCCCGTCAAGACACCCGATGCAGCCACCAAAGGGTCATCCAAGGACCACAAAGCAGACGCTAAGGGGGATGCGCCCGCCAAGGCTTCTGAGGCAGCCACCAAGGGGTCTGCCAAGGTCCCCAAAGCAAACGCTAAAGGGGCTGCTGCAAAAGGGCCTGGAGCACCCATGTCATGGCCGGATGGGGGGCCTGAGTTAGTTGAAATGGTCATCAAAAACCCCTTCTTGAAAACCACACCACCATCAAGTGATGGCCTCCCCATTGACCCGACTCCAGAAGGTAGCATGACCTAAAAAACAATTATGACCGACCAAATATTAAGGCAAGAATATGGAATATTTTGAATGTTTCTATATTACATTTAGTTTAGCTTCTCTAGTATGTTGAGAGTATTTGAATAGGATTAGGAATATTTGCACCATGATTACATTGCACACAATTAATCAATTCCATGTTTTATTTTACTAGTACATATAAAGAGAAGGCTCAATTATGCCTTTTCCTATTGATTTTATACGGTGTGATTTGCTGGTTGCTAAGCCTTGGTGTCTATGATGCTGTAGCTCCTATTGACACCATTTGAGGCTTATTTGAGCAATTACATTTATGCAAAATGTTGCTTATGTGTTTGGTTAGGTGTCTCGGGACTTATTTGTGATAATATACAGTTTTGAGGACATTTTCCAAAGTGTCCCAACCAGCCCAAAAAGGGCATCGCGAGCTCCCCCTGTATCTTATGGTGCTTGTTCTTCCCCTTTTGGGTCAAGAGAGGGATACGAAAGATTTGAGGGGTGAGACTTTAATCTACCAAATCTATCCATTAGAGAGTGAAATTGGTGGGGATTTAGAGCTTCCCAAACCTTGTTGGCTCTCATCTCTTGTATCTCCATATTTACAGTGGATTGCTTGCTTGTCATTGCCTGTGGTTTTTTCCCACAAGAGATTCCCAAGCAAATCCTTGCATCTACCTGTGATTCGGTATTCCTCTTACGATATGAGTTGATTGGTTCTGATCTTGCTTTATACCGGTGTCGTTTGTTGAAGATTGGATAAATTTGCTCATGGTAGCTGGCATATTGTTGTGTTGATATACAATGCATATGTGGTCTTTGACGGCTGATGATATGTGGTGGGAATCGAAGGATTGTCTAACTAGTCGTTGGGAGTACCTCGTGTACAAGTCACATGCAAAAATACAATTCAAAAGGTCGAGAAACAATTTTGGATCTATGATTTTCGTGTTCGTGGTCTATGATAATGGCCCTGTTTGGTATAGCTCATCTGGGAAGCGCTTCCCAGATAAGCTGCACAAATATAGTAAAAACGGCGGTCAAAATAAGTTGATCTGATCCAGCTTCTGTTTTTTAGTATAAATGGGAGCTGTGGGAATAAGCGTGGTCAACATAAGCTGCTGTAAAACGTAACGTTTAGGCTATTGATTTTAGCTTATTTTGACCATAAACAACTTATAAGCTGTACCAAATAGTCCCAATAACAAGTCACTTTGCTTACCCCGTAAAGTCTGGGTGTTAATTTTTGGTTGCTATTTGTTCAGCTGCTCCCGTTTGTCATACATACAGTGTCTGTGAGGATGGTCGAGATTTACGCACATATTTAGAGTATGTTTAGGATTCAAAGTTAATACTCAATTTGACTAAACGGAGGCCCTCTTGTGTGGTATTGTCCTGTGGGCATTTTGGGGAGGGTTCGTGGGCGTCACAATGCCACAAAAAAATATATGGGTTGCATTGCATGTCAACGTTATATTTTATCATTTTTAAATATATAACGTATATGACAAACTAATAAGGGCACATTTAGTTAGCTGGAATTTGGATGTGCAAAGCTTGCATAGTGCCAGATTTCATACTGTAGTATTTCGTTTGTATTTGGTAATAATTATCCAACCGTTGACTAATTAGGCTTAAAATATTCATCTAACAAAGTACAACCAAACTGTGCAATTAGTTTTTAATTTCGTCTACTTTTAGTATTCCATACATGTACCATAAATTTGATGTGACGATGAATCTTCTTTTTGTATAGTGCCAAAGTTGAGAGTTTGGGAGGAACTAAACAAGGGCTAAGCTTATTTTTAGTGCATGTGTACTATGTTTAATTTTATGTTTGAATTAATTATCTCCACATATATTTAAGAAAACGCAGGGAGAACTGTTATATATTTTTCTTTACAGAAGAATATTTCGAACACAAACCGAAAGTAAGCCTGCCAGTCCTCCGAATTCCGAATCCACGCCGATTGGCCGGTGACGAGCCCTCCCAATTTTTCGCATTGGGTCCTCGCACCGACAACCGGACCCGGAATCATTGGCGCCAAAAAGAAAAAAATATGCCAGGTCAAACTCCCGCCAGGCGAACGAACAGTCGAAACCTCCTAGCAACGTCTGGGCCCTCACCCCTCCACGTCACCGATCCGCGCTGCTCCCAGCCCCGTTTCCAGCTCGCCCCACGTCAGCGATCCGCATCCCATCCCATCCGTCCACCGGAACGGCCGAACCCCTCCACATCAGCAATCCGCGGCTCACCAATCGCGTCCCACCTCCGACCCCCTATAAAGCCATCTTCCTCACCCAGCATTCCAGCAACCATTCCACAAAGCTGCCCCTGCCTCCCTACCGTCGAGGAGAAGCTCAATCCCGAACCCACCGCCGATCCCCATGGCGCCCAAGGCCGAGAAGAAGCCCGCGGCGAAGAAGCCAGCGGAAGAGGAGCCGGCGACGGAGAAGGCGGAGAAGGCCCCGGCGGGGAAGAAGCCCAAGGCCGAGAAGCGGCTCCCGGCCGGCAAGTCCGCTGGCAAGGAAGGCGGCGAGAAGAAAGGGAAGAAGAAGGCGAAGAAGTCGGTGGAGACCTACAAGATCTACATCTTCAAGGTGCTGAAGCAGGTGCACCCGGACATCGGCATCTCGTCCAAGGCCATGTCCATCATGAACTCCTTCATCAACGACATCTTCGAGAAGCTGGCGGCTGAGGCGGCCAAGCTGGCGCGGTACAACAAGAAGCCCACCGTCACGTCCCGCGAGATCCAGACCTCCGTCCGCCTCGTCCTCCCTGGCGAGCTCGCCAAGCACGCCGTCTCCGAGGGCACCAAGGCCGTCACCAAGTTCACCAGCTCCTAGGCGAGCGATGGGATCTGCCTCAGTTCCGTTCGTGAAGTAGTAGTGTGGTCGTGTGTTGCAGCGGCGGTAGTTGCCCCTGCGTCTGCTCTTTGTTCACCTCTAGTCGTCAGATTTATGTAAGAAGTAACCTGTTGTGGTACTGTGGCTGTTGATCTTTGCAATTTCTGATTGCAAATATATGGGAAATGTATCCTGGTATTTAACTGAGTTTTGCTTTCGTTCTGAACTTGTATTTGCCGCAGTCTTGGAAATTTCGTGTTCTGTTATCATTTCCTGCGCCCTGTGGTCAATTTCCAGTTTCTGAAGTCGAGGTGCCTTGCTGGGAGACTGAGATTTGGTACAGCAAAACGCCCGTTGTTCTTCGCTGTGTTGTAAGCTCAGGATGTCATGTACTGTCTGCTCCAATCAATGAATCTGCTCTGCAGCTTTATCACCTTGCTGATACTACTGAGGCGCATGATGTCTTTGTCTGGAATAACATAGATATAACTGCAAGGCCAGAAGCTCTAAGTGCTGCTTCATCTAAGAGGGCAAGTGTATCGCACACTTTAGAAAGGAATAGTATAATGTTATCAGGCAAAAATGCAGATCATGTGCAACATGAATTGTCTGAAATCAACCATCAGGTCAAACAAAACACTCTTGAAAGACCAATGTTTCAAACCTTTGAAGCATCAAATTCTATGGCCAGGCCACCGCTCGAAAATGGTTCATTGCACTCAACTAAATCTAATTTTCTGGAAGGGCATGATTGTGTATCCTGTCCACTTCCCGAAAATGGTGCAATTGATATTGTTGATAATATTTCTATTGAAGTATCTCAGGGCTGGCCTCCAACTGTTGTCCCTGAAGAAACTTATTAAGGAAGTGGGACACAGTTCTGAAACCACCTCTCATGAAAGGCATTTTTGTTTGGCGAGTCCAAAGATTGAAAAGGATCTCTTGCACACAATCGAACAGATGCCTTGTTTAGATTGTAAGTTTTTTTACTCTCTCTCCATCACATTAAATCTTTGGACACATGTATAGAGTGTTAAATATAGATAAAAAAATAACTAATTACATAATTTGATTGTAAATTACGATACGAATCTTTTGAGCCTAGTTAGGTCATGATTGGACAATAATTGTCAAATACAAACAAAAGTGATACAGTGCCAAATATTGATTCCTAGCTCCAATCTAAACAAGACTAGACTAGGGCCTTGTTTAGATTGCAAGTTTTTTTACTCTCTCTCTCATCACATCAAATCTTTGGACACATGCATGGAGTATTAAATGTAGATAAAAAATAACTAATTACACAGTTTGATTGTAAATTACGAGATGAATTTTTTGAGCCTAGTTAGACCATGATTGGACAATAATTATCAAATACAAACGAAAGTGCTACAGTGCCAAATACTGATTCCAAACATCAATCTAAATAAGGGCTAGAAAATTAAGAAAAAAGAAGCAGTCTTTTAGATAGATGTGACAATGGAAGCTCCAGAACTATTGTACAGCATAGCTCAGGATGTCATGTGTTGTCTGCTCCAATCAATGAATCTGATCTGCAGCTTTCTCACCTGGCTGATACTACTGAGGTGCATGACGTCTGTGGCCTCATTCGCTGGTCTGAACTTTGGCTGAAACTGGCTGAAAAACATTGTTCCGGCTGAATTGTTGTGAGAGAAAAACACTATTCCAACTAAAAAAATAAGCCAAATAAGCCAAATTTAAGACAAGCGAACGGGCCTGTGTCTGGAAAAGGCCAGAAGCTCTGAGTGCTGCTTCATCTAAGAGGGCAAGAGTATCACACATTTTAGAAAGGAATAGTGTAATGTCATCGGACAAAAGTGTGCCAATGCTAGAATGCCAAAGCTTCAGCATCCCTGTTCCATCTGACAGCACGACCATTACTGAGAGGGCACTTCAGGGATCCTGTGAGTCTAAAAAGCTTGTTAACTTTTGTTCCAGCCTTTCTGTAAAGTATAAGATAAAACCTCTAGACAGTATGTATCAGTCACTACCATCTAGGTTCGAGAATCTCATGAATCTATCCCTATCCTATTCCGTAGACACTTTTTTTTTCTCGAACACATAGCATAGTCGCGTATCATTATATTAATAGAAGAAAAAGAGAGTTATATATAGACCCGAACCCCACCCACCAC